GGAGAGAAATTAAAGGATAAAAGTTATAGAGTCGTGATTTTTATGTGCTTCGTGTCACGGCGCATTTGTGTATTATCAAATGACTAGTAACAACCACCCAAGTATTAAATGTTTCTTAGTGATTACAGGGTTTGATCATTAATCTACCAACATTGACTAATTCTCCAACAATTCAAATTCGGCATCTATCTGTGATAAAGTCTCTTTTCAATCACACCTCTTGCATATAAACTGGGACTAGTGACTCATAACTTGTGCAGCAAATTACAATGAAGGGCAATAATTGTGTAGGACAGTCCATTAACCTTATCGAGGGTGAACAACTGATTTATCTAATTTAATGAGTTCCAAACCATTAGTCCTAAAATAAAAGGTACAACAAGAGCGAGCAAGCGAGCTTATAGTCATCAAATTTCTATACAAAAGCTGACAAACAGCAAGCATCAAGTGCCACTTCTTTCTAAAAACCTTATTCAAATATCCTCTTAAATATAAACTGTTTAAACAAACAGCAGAAGCACTTTAGTTCAATTTAAACTCTCAACTCATTAAAACACAAAATCCGAAAAACTGACACTAAAAAACTTTTACACCTGCAAAATATCGCACAGACGAGAAAAATTTGCAAAACTTCCATCATTATAGCACATTTAAAATACGCCAAATTCATTTCAGAAGCGTAAAGAAAGAAAAAAAGTTCTTGATCCTCTTTACAGAACTTTTTATTCGCATATATTTTTTTTTTGCCAAATTGACCATTTCCCATCTTCTTTTACATTTAAATTTATATATTTTCGTTTTGAGAGCTCCCCTTCACCCAGTTGAGATTACTTTAAATTACCGCATTAAATTTTATTTTATATTTTTTTCTGTTTCCTCCTTTCATCCACATTAAAATCGAGGCAAGTGCTATTGAAAATTTATACAACTTGGCAGCATTTCTGAATGTAAACGCACAACAAGGGCATGAAAAGAAAGAGGGATGAATAATTGTATTTGAAATAAATGAATAAAGTGGAGAGGGATCATGTTTTAGTATGGCAATAATTATGCGCTGTGTCTTTAGTTTAAATCTGGGATGCACTCAGTGGGGTGGAGAGTTAGCCAATTTTTAAAATAAAAATTTGGGGCAACTAGGAATGTTTGTAGCTTAAGAACACTAAAGAACTTATAGAAGGAGGCTGTTGACAGAGAGCATTGTACTCAGGGGCGGAGCCAGGGGGGGGCCATAGGGGGCCCGGCCCCCCCTACGAAAATCTGATAATTGTTTTATTAAGTTTTTATAGAGAAGAACCAGTTAATGTAGAGGAAGTGATGAAAGAAATGTCAAAATCAGCACGAAAAATTAAATTTAATGTATGAATAATGAATTAAATATTTAAACTTATGAAGAATGAATATAGATTTAAGGATACAAAATAACGGTTTTTTTAATTTTCGAAAATGGGCCCCCCTTAAAAATTTTCTGGCTACGCCCCTGATTGTACTTGTCAAGCGGTAGCTAGGTATGAATTTTTAAGAAGCTTATCAACCAATGCATACTCAAGTGGGAACCATTGATCAACATTTCGAACGACCTCGAGATCAGAATCGATTGTACCACACCATTTTAGACTTTTAGACCCTTTGACTTTCTTGGAGCTTAGATCACAACAAAAAACTGTCCATCTAACTTTATTGCTGGCTCTGTTCTGGTTTGTACAATTTCTTTGTCCGTACATCTAGCTGACATTCCATTTTCACTATTCTGCGCTAAGGAACGTTTTGGAGAATGATTCTATTATGATGTCGATAATTGTTTTGTTCACACTAGATAAGAGTCATTGATGCAATACAATCTATCGTTGATAAAGACTGAAGTGCTCCCGATGTGTACTCACATCATGTAAGAACACAAACGATGCAACCCTTTCTCATGTTTGTTAAAAATCGTTGACAACTAAAGTCAAATTCTAGTCTAAGAAGGGTCTTAACCAGTGGTTCTCAAACTGTGTGCCGAGAAAAAATTCCAGGTGAACCACGAAAAAACTTTAAAGCCAAATTGACCCTATACTTTCAAGTTTTATGACTTAAAATGATCATTATAATCATTTATTGAACAGTGAGACTATTCAGGTTTCTAAACTTATGTGACACTTAACCACAAAGGTACTACTTTTTTATAAACTGAAGGACACCTTTTATACGCGATTCATTATCAATAATATACAATATAAAAGCACAACCTAGCTGCACTTCTGTCTCAGTTTCAAATTTATTCAATTGCCTGATTTCCATTGCCCTTAATGTCAATTGAACATTTTCCATCCACTAACATCATCATTAAGTTCATGTTGAACGAGATATTTTTTTTTTGGTCATAAAATAATGGACAATTGTCTTACGTCTATTTGATTCTCAACCTCCCAACCATAAAAATGGCATATGAGTAGCCTTTTTTTTCTTCAGCACGAGAGCCAAAGCAAATCAACACATACATCATCATCATTTTCCCATTTTAATTTTCTGTTTTGTGACCTTTGAAGAACTATAAGTTCAATTTAGTGTATTCTATGACTGTCGTGACTCGATAAATCACTTTTATGTATGTGATTTATAGCTATTTTTTCTGTTATATCCTTGCTTGTGGCTTAAGATGTATACTATTGAATTTTTACGGGCTATTTATAAGGTTATTTAAGCTTATCGACAGAAGAAGCAAGAAAAAAAATTTGAATCCGAAATGGTTTTGATGGCGTAAAGAGAAAGCTTTCAATAAAATTGAATTTTCATAAATATCCATCCATTGTCTTTGACCTTTAAGCTTGTACCATTTTGCCTCGTTTTCTTTTATTTTTTCATGTCTCGAGAAAAAAAAAGGAAAATGCTCTCAAAAATGTAATCAAATTGCCTCAGGACATGTCTAAATGTAAGGAAAAAATGAACATAAAGAGGGGAAAGAAAAGAGTCAACGACAGTAAGGGACTTATTGAAAAAAATTTTTTTTTGATGCTGAGGCCCGAATGGAACGACAAAAAAGGACATGTCAAAGTAAATTGACATTTTTTGCATTCAAACAAATAACAAGAAGGAAAGTTATTGTTCCGGAGTTTGAGAGAACAAAAGCAGAGCTGAAAGGCATGTTGATATGAATTTTCTGACAACGATGAATAAATTTTGGAATTTTTGTTATGTGCTACATTATCTGTTTGGAAGCATTTCCAAAGGAAAGTGAAATTTACTGTCTTCTGCAGTAAATGCATCGGAAAAGTTTTTATGTAGCTTAAAGCTACGCTCATGCTCTGATATTTTTAATATTGAATTTACAACTCAGTCAGCATCAGAAACCATCTGCATATGACACAAAAAGACTTTGAATTGCTACTTTCTACCTTCCTTTAATTCACGTCTCAAGCCCGAAATGATATCAAAAGATTAGTTGAATTCCTGCTGTCATATAAAGAGATTATCGTGTATCATTACTTCCTTTTTGTACATCTGTGCATTTTATATATTCGAGACATACCAAATTGAGTTCATTGCTCTTCCTTTTGGGAGTTGAAAGCTGATATTAATCTTCAACGTTAATGCAATTTGGCTTTTTTGGGATCTCAATCTAATATATTAATTAGAGGTGTGGAACTGAAGAATTACATTTTTTTTTATTGATTCCATAACAATATTGTAGTATAAAACTATGTAATATGTATTTAACAATTGTATTTAAAGAGATTATTAACTTTACTCCCTAAATCTAGTTATTGTATCTCGCCATAACACCCACATGTATATGTTCGCGCAGTTTCGTTTTGAATTTACTTATGCTTTTCTGGCATTTAATCTGATCAGGCAAATTATTATATTGTAAGAAGGCTCTAACAAAGAAATTCATTGTTCCTAACTGAGTTTGTGTTCTATGTGTTACTATATCCTCATTGTTTCTAGTAGAGTATCTATGTACATTTTTGATCAATTTTGAAGACATTTTTTAATATTTAAGAGTAAAAATTAAGACTATTGGCCTGAAAAATGAAAACTTGTGTCAAATTGACTAATCTTTAAACTAGATATATATATATATATATATATATATATATATAGATAATCCATAAACTTTCCAAAAAAAAGCATTGCATGCATTCTTGTATCATTTTCACACGATTTTATCGACATAAGTTCATTCTTCTATTTCATTCAAATTTTGTTTCAGCATTAAATTAGTAATATACAGACTACCGCCATTCCGAAAACGACCGTTATTTTTTAAAAAATGGACAAAAAAAATTTGGTATGATTCAAAAAAAAATGACCGTTTGAATTCAAAAACAAAATTACAGTTAAAATCAAGGAAAGCTAAATCAGATTATTCATTTAAACTTTGATGCAAACAGCTCTTTTCGATTTAAAAAACGTTTCTGATGAGACAATTTTAATCTAAAATTTAAAAAAATCCTTCAAAAGTCTTCAAATATCAAAATGCAGTGTTTAAAACTAGTTGGAATTTCTTTCACTGCTGCTTTAAAGGATGATTAAATTTGGGATGCGGAGTGGTTTCTATCAACTGAATCACATTGTCGATAATTAAATTCAATTTTGTAGCAAAATGAAAGAAATATTGGAGAAGGTTTTAAAGGCATTCGAAATAATGCTTTTCCATCCTTTCGTTTGTTTTCACAATTAAAGACTGCGCACTTGCTCATTTTTGTATTTATTAATTACTTTTTAAGTGATTTTATTGTTTAAAATGTCTCAAGGAATTTATTTGTTTACATTATGCATAACGGAAAAAAATATTTGAACTATTTCGAAAACTTCGAAATTAATTTCGAAGTTTTCGAAAATGGAATGGCGGTAGTCTGGTAATATATTGCTATCTACCATAGCACCACAGAGAAGAAGACAAAAGTCAAAGTTCTTGAATCAGAAGCATGTAGAAAGAAATAAGAAGCATCCAACAAATAACACAAAAAGGTTATTGTTCATCAATTTATTATCGAACCAAAAATGTTCAAAAACAATAATGTCCATAAATTAATTTAAAAACACCTAAAAACCTGAAATTGTCAAGTCATAAAATCACTCACATCTGCCCATCTCATTGTTATGCTAATTTATCTGTCAATTAATTATACCCACCCCAAACTGATTGATACAACAAAAATTGCCCAACAAATTTGCGAATGAGAGACATGAGGCATGGTGGAAATAATGGGACGATAGAAGCTCCACTGATAATTTATTTGCTTTTTCACACTCCCCACTAATTTGGTAGCCACAAAAAAAAACAAGCAGCGAAAGAGAAAACAAACATAATTCAAATTTGTGAGTTCCATCGGGACTTGTTGGTTTGTGAATTCATTTTATCATGACGTGACAGTGGCTTCAAATGTGCTGCATCAACAATATCTCTATACATAAAGATAGCATAAAAAAATGTATGGGATTAGACAGGAAATGATGTTTGGCATTGTATCAAGATTTAATTGTGTCTATTTCTCACTTGAATTCATCATAACTTTTTGAACTATTTACGGCTCGCAATTTTGCATCGTTCCTTAAACGGTAAAGCTCATCAGATTTGAGATTATTCAAACATGCTTCAGTCAATTTCTGTATTTCCTTAACTGTAATTTGATCCATATCCTTGAATTCTTATTACTTTTTGTTATTTTATCTTGGCAAAATTTAATTTTCACTTTCTGATATAAACAAATGTCGTACGGAAATGAAAATAATATTTCTATGGTTACTGAGACTTTCTTATTACGTTATTATTGTATTGAATGAAAAGGAAAATGTGTCTGATTCAATTTGGAATTTGCTTCAAAGATGGCGTTAGTTTTGTTGAAGAGATTGTGGTTAAATCTTTAAAAGCCTGAGAATTCATGTTTAATGAATGTGGTGGTATATTTAGCAATATTGTAAGTTTAAATTATTGATGCTTCTAATCTATGGACAGACCAGAAGTACACAGGTTATTGTTCTCTTAAATGTTGTACAGTATTTCTATAACTGGAGAATTTCATTTCTTAAAGGAGACGCTAAACTTGAGAAAGGAGAGCTTTATTTTCCAAAAGCACGCAGAACAATGTGCTTAATAAATTCAAGACAATGAACAACTTACAATTTATATATTTCCGATCATGAGATCGAGACCAATACTACATGGGAGTTTGATAAACTTAATGTATTTTTAATAATAAGCGTAATTAATGATTTCTCATAGATTTAAATTAATAACAACGATGTTTATTCTTCAGTTTTTTATTTTATTTTAATTGCACTTAATTGCATTTATTGACGACGTACTTTCCGGTAATAATTCACATTTTACACTTTTGTATTTGTATACATATGAATTAATATTATGTAGGATCAAACTTCTAATCTTCATATCTAGGTTTAAAATAAACTAAGGCTCTCGTTTCAATCTGCTGTGGGCGTGACGTGATACTTTTCAGGTCCGTTCTAACAATATTCCATTCGTGGGTAATCTTGTAGCTCTCGTTCCTATTTTTCCCGCTACACTTCAAGTTCCTGACCCGTTCCTTAATCCAACGTTGCCCAAATGCCCAATTATGGCTTGATCTCGTACATTAAGCAGTCGAAGTATCTAAACTTCCGAAAAAGAACAAATTTGGAAATGGCTGGATTCGAACTGACGACCTTCGGGTTACCATCCCAAATTTGAGCCAAGCGCCTTACCTAGTGATCACAAACAGGTTAATTTTTTTTTTATAAAGGGGCTAACCACTATACAAGGAGAATTGAGACTTTGCAAGTGAAAATGAGACTAACATTTTTTTTAGTTTTGGCTTAATAAAACCAAGAATCTGCATAAAAACTATGACATATTATATATTTTTGGAAAGCTCTTGATTTCAGCTACATGAATTTTTAAAACAAACTTAATTATATTAACAAGGGTTGGAATCCTAAGGGTTTTAAACTGTTGATCTACATACAATTTGGTACGTCACACTGTGCCCTGTTCCTTAAAGGAAACAACTATATATTAAGTGAATTAGATTAACAAAACAACATATTAATAGACAACAGAGAGATTTTTTCGCTATCTTTCCTTGATTTTTTTTTTATGAGTTATCAAACCTTGGTGATTTTTCTATCTGATTTTTTTTAAAAATGCTCTAGCTCATCCAAATGTTCAAGTATTTTAATTATTTAAACGCCGTTTATCTTATTTTTTATTCACCTATATCTTGACGCTCAGAAAACGTCCAAGGGTTGGACACTTTGTCAAAATAAAAAACCAACCCTTGGATTTTTTTATTATTTTTTATGTTTAAACTATTAAAACTAAGAACTTTAAACTTATAAATAAGTTATAATCATTATTTAAATAAAATAACTTTGTGTTTTATCAAATCAACCCTCAATAAAACGGAAAAATTAAAAAAAATTTAAATATTTTGATAAATTCACTACCTTACTACAATTAAATTTTGAATTATTAATATAATAACATGAATGGAACAAAAATATTTTTTACAAAAATTAAAATTTAACGTTAAATACAAATTTAATGTAATGCAAACAAATTTTTTTTAATTTTTCCGTTTTATTGAGGGTTGATTTGATAAAATACAAAGTTATTTTAATTAAATAATGATTATAACTTATTTATAAATTTAAAGTTCTTAGTTTTAATAGTTTAAACATAAAAAATAATAAAAAAATCCAAGGGTTGGTTTTTTATTTTGACAAAGTGTCCAACCCTTGGACGTTTTCTGAGCGTCAAAATATAGGTGAATAAAAAATAAGATAAACGGCGTTTAAATAATTAAAATACTTGAACATTTGGATGAGCTAGAGCATTTTTAAAAAAAATCAGATAGAAAAATCACCAAGGTTTGATAACTCATAAAAAAAAACCAAGGAGAGATAGCGAAAAAATCTCTCTGTTGTCTATTAATATGTTGATTTGTTAATCTAATTCACCTAATATATAGTTGTTTCCTTTAAGGAACAGGGCACAGTGTGACGTACCAAATTGTATGTAGATCAACAGTTTAAAACCCTTAGGATTCCAACCCTTGTTAATATAATTAAGTTTGTTTTAAAAATTCATGTAGCTGAAATCAAGAGCTTTCCAAAAATATATAATATGTCATAGTTTTTATGCAGATTCTTGGTTTTATTAAGCCAAAACTAAAAAAAATGTTAGTCTCATTTTCACTTGCAAAGTCTCAATTATAGTTGCGTAAATAATTTGAATATAAAATAACCGTTAATATATTCTCAACAAAGATGTTCAGTGACTAAATATGAAGATATAAGTTTGTACACCTCCAAAATATTGTATTGGAGGTAGTGCTTTAAAATTGAAGATAGTGCTGGAAGGCAAAATAGAAATTATATAGCAAGTATTAAAATTATCAAGTGACTTCATTTCAATCGTTTATATCATCTTTATTAATTTCTTAATTATGGAATCATTTTAATAAGTTTTTAAGGTATTTATACAATGTTTTTCTTGTTTTTCTTTATCATTGTGATTTCATGTTATTAAAATTGTTCGATAAGAACTTTCCTGCTTTTAGTTCTTTACTCTACGGTTAGCTACGTAGAGATAAAGAGGAATATTCATTAATGGAAATTTATCGATTTTTTTTTTATGTAAGTATCTTAATAGGAAATTGTTGGAATGTTGACTTCGTCAAGAATTTGTAGAAAATTTATGGATCTTCCTAATTTTAATAATTTTTTAAGGATTCTATGTCAGGTTGGTCCACATGATTGGACTATTAAGTTTTTTTTTCTAATTTATTTATCATACAAATGCGGGTTTTCTTAATTTCCAAAAAGCACAATTTTGTCATATTCTACAAATTTCTACATGATTAATCTCTGACTTATTTTTATTCAGTAATGAGCAATTTACAGGAATTGGGACTAAAATTTTCGTATTCAATAATCCAAAAAAAATAGTTGCAAAATTTTCAACGCTCTGCGTTTAATTGTGAAATGGTGTAGCTGTCCTAATTTGAAGAGTTGTCAAAAAGTATAAACATCGAATGATTAAAGGTAAAGACGTGATCAAGTGAAAAAAATTCTGACTTCACCCCTGATTCAAAGCTGATCAAATTTATAGCCCAAAATTCAATTCGAATACCACAAAAGCAATCAAATTAAATTGAATCTCATAAACGAAAATATTCCAAAAATTAAGGGTAGATTCCTAATTGCATTCCATTCGTGTGGTTTTGGTTGTTTTCTTTATTTATTTTTTCCTATCATTCTAATTTCATAATATTCATCACGTTATGCAAATTTCAGTTTTTATAATCATTACTATATTATAAGAAGCGCACAAATAAAATAAAAAATATATATAAAATATTATTTTATTATTATTATTATTATAATATTAGGCATTTCATATTCCTTTGTAGCAAATGTTTATGTCATCATTATGGATTGATAATTGACAATCAGTCGAGTACGAATCCTTTGATGGTAAGCATTACTCTAGCAGATATTTGGAAGAGAATTTTAAAGCAATTTCTAAACTTTACACATTCAAAGATTTTCAAAAATATCCAAGTTCTAGCAAAATCCCGCCAAAACTCAATCCAAACATCTGATAGTCTTTTTAACAAGCAAATCATACAAAAAGTTTCTTTCTGTCTTTATATTCTTAAAAAAAACCTTTCAAAATCTTCATTCTCGATTTTTTAATTACGATACAAATCATCCACACCATTCGTCGCATGGTGTTTTACTTTCACATTCTTACAATCTAGTCTCTAATCGTATAGAATAAAAATATCTTTTTCTTTCTTTAAGAATATTACAAAAAAATAAATCTTTTTTTTTTGATATTTTTACTTTTCATTCACAATATTTCTTACATGAAATGTTATTAACAGCTATCCATGACGTGCATGTAAAGCCATATAAGGATTTTTTTTTCTTTTATAAATATTATATCATTATTTAAGTGTTTCAATAATAGAAAAAAAAAATTACACGAAACGATTTTTTTGTAAAAAATACTTTTTTTTCTCTTAAATATGTGGAACTTTCATGTGTCTAAAACGAATGATGTCTGTCTATTAGATATCATTATCACACTGCTTGCAGTGTCGCCTCGTCCTTTATCTCATAATTTCTTTTACTTTAATGCTTGAAATGATTATTTACAAAAATTTTGGAAGCCGCTTTTTTATCCTTTAAAAAAAAATAGAAAAATATTCCGAAATGGAAATTAGAAATTATCGCCAAAACTAATTTAGGAATTGTGACATAACAGGAAATCATAATAAAGTTCAAAAGGACGTGTTGAAACTACAATAACCGAACAGTTAAAAAATTATAGAAGGATTTGTGGTACACAAAATTGGTTGAATGGTAAACAGAACTAGGAAATGGATTTTCTGTGATTTAAGCGCATTTATCAAACATGTAGATTGTCATATGCAATACTTGAGTTGTTGATCTATATATAGTGGGTATCGTGAGTTCAAAAGAAAGGCTTCAATAGTCAAGTTGGGAAGGAGCGGTCAACAATCCTCTTCTGTGAAACGTGGGTTCGAACCTTAATAGATATGGGTCTCTCAATCATAGTGCTGTCTGTACAACAAGGATTCACACAATGCTCACGAGTTTACATGTAATTAGTGATATTTGTAGTCTAAAGCTTTGATATCCTTTAAAATTGTCAGTTCCAAATCCTACTCAATAATTACTTTTCAAATCGATTTTTCCACTGAAAAAGTTGCTGGATGTTCCGGATATTCCTTATTTCCGACAAATGCCATTTCTTTGTCCTTGCTTTACTCTTACTGACCTGTTGACTTATTGCATGGTTAGTCGATATTGAATATTTCATATTTTATTAATAAGCAAATCCAAAACGTGTTCATTAGTTCAGAATTCGTGTGAAATTCAGTTAGTCACTAGCTTTGTTACAAAAATGCGCTTAACAAAAACAGCAATTAATGAAAACATGAGCATTTTCATTATTTTAAGTCACAAATTTATACATTCGTGCACATCCACTAATTTATGTGTGGATGACTTTTAATACAACCGTAATTATATTTGGAGGAACAGCCTTTATTTATCATATTCATATTTTCATTTATGATGTCGTCTTTTATAGTTCCATTTACCTTTTAACCGACAAAAAAATGTGCCACAAAAAAAGAACGTCTACGAAAATAAACTTTCAACCTAAACTACACAACATAAAAAATTTATTGAAAATGTTCTACATGATTTTCAGTATTAAAGTTGCTGTATTAAACTAATTAATACAAAATTCGTCACACACATTAAAAAGTATAAAAAAAGTAGTTCGATAAAAGTCAAGTTAAGGAATATAAAAAATATATTGGTGATGGCAATAAACACAAACACACAAAAGTTCTGACAACGATTTAAAAAGTATTCAGCATGCTCATACCTGAGTAAAGCACTGGGCATATTTTTCCAAATCATTCTTAAGTGTTTTAACTTTATCACTTTCGTCTCTTAGCAGCTTCTTTAATTCATCAATTGTTGCATTTTGAGTCAGCACTAAATTTTCAAGCTTATTAACTCTCTGTTCCAAATCACCGACTTTTGAATTCACATCAACTGTACTTGATGATAATACAGTCGCTGTTGATGTCAATAACGATGATGAGCTATTGTTTGTCGTTATATGAGTAGCTGATATATTCGTAGGTGATGGTTTTATAATATGATGATTTGGTGGTTGTGTACGCGGAATTGGCGATATTGAACGATTTCTCAAGCTAACACTTGTGGGTCGAATATTTGCAGTTAAATCTTCAACTTTCACTGCCGTTGTGGACGATGTTGTCATAACGCTACTCGAATTATCCGTAATTGATATTTTCGTTGTGGATTTGGCACTATTTGTGTCAACACTTGTATTTATGGATGTTGTTCCGTGTATCTCCTTATTGTTATTAACGACATTATCCTTTTTGAATGCATCAAAGCTATTTGATTTCACTTCCATACTGCTGGCACGAACCTCGAATGTCTCTTGAGTCGATTTCTTTTGGGCAAATGTGCTATTGAATGACTTTGATAAGTCATTCTTCTCATCATTATCGGGTGATTTATGCTCAATATTTGGCGACGTCTTTCTTGCTTGATTTGCCTTCAACTCTTCCATCCACGGTGCTTTATGTTTCTCCCACTCACGTGCTTTCGGCTTAACTGTTTCTTCTTCATTCTGTTGTGCTGTTTGTGCAGGACTTGTCGATATAACCGTTTCGATTGTTAATGATGAATCATTAGATTCAGTATGACTTCCATTCATTACATTATTATTATTGGAATCACCACTTAATGATCCAGCTGATGTTGGTGGACGTCTTTTTGGTGCCTTTGCACGATTTTGTCGAACATCCTGTAAATAGGATCCTCTCTCGACTGTATCTAACTCATTTAATTTCTCACCTACAACTCCTTTATCGGAATTATCAGCGACTTGTGATGCTATTTTACTTGTACCGATTCCATCGGTTCCATCATGCGATGTATGATGTTGTAACTTACTCTCGACACTTTTCACTTTCTGCTTCAAGCCTGAAAATATACTTCCAGCGACTGTCGATACAGATGGCGATTTTTTAATTGGAACTGTTGGTTTCTTTGTTAATACTGGAGGCGGCGTTGTTTTCTTGTCGTCAAGATTTTCTAAACTTTTTCTTATATCTGATGGCGTCTTATTAGCATCGGTAATAATTAAGGATTTTCTTGGCGGTTTCTCGATACCATGATGATTAGTTTCAATAGATTTAGTCTCCAATGACCGTCGATGTGCTGCAACATTTCCAAATATTCCACTATTGCGCTCAGCACTAATAATATTATTTGATTCTGTGAGGGAATCTTTAGAACCGAAACTATCCTTTCGATACGACTGTGTTGATGACTTTATGGATGTGCTAGTTGCATTTAATATTGTTTTTGTACCGATTGGTGGACGTTCTTTGACTGGAGATCCTTAAATGATAAATTGTTTGAATTATTAGATAAATTACTTAAATGTGAAACAATTGGATGTTTTGCTGGATCTTTTATACACATCCAGACATCACAAGATACTTAGGTAAGGAAGAAAAAAAAATCAATTTATTACCGTCTGATGGCAATGATGTGACAAAATTATCCGGAAATACTCCAATTTTACCCCTCAACTCCCCCTTCCACCAACCTTTATCAGGTAAATCTTTCGTTACAATCGTAATTATATCACCCTCATTTAATTTCAACTCATCTTCATTAACAGGTGCATAAGCATAAAGCACTCTACATTGCTCTCGAATTGGTTTTGGCGGAAGTATGGGTACTGAGTCAATTGACGAGTCACCGCTTTGATTATGGCCGAGATCTTCTCGTGAATTCGTCAGACTCGATCGATTGTTATTTATTTTATTTTGAATTATGGTGTTATTTATGGTTGTTTTGTGATTTGCATTAATTGGTGATGTTGACTCGATTACTTCAACGAAGTTTGATGGGAAAACTCCCACTTTATTTCCTAGTTTACCTCTCATCCAGCCTGTTATGGATGAAAACGAGAGAATGTGAAACTTTGCGTGATGCAATTTGGATTTCATTTGCATTAAGGTGAGTTGAATGCAAATTTGAAGCCGGATTAAAACTTACCTTCTTCAACCTCATCGAAAATTTCAAGAATATCTCCAACAGCCAGTGTTAGTTCGTCTTCTTTATTCTCTTTATAACTATAAATGACTTTACATCGTCGATTTTTCGTTGATGCTTTATCTCTGTAATAATTAAAACGAGAGAAGAATAATGAACGATATGATATAATAACAACAAAGAACCATAAAAAATGATCATATAAAAAATTTGCGCCAATTCATCGAATTCTTAAAGATTAACAGCAAAGCGATCATCATTTTTTGCCGTTAGTTAAGTTGAAATAAAAAAAAGAGAATTATGAAAGAAGTAAAATAAGAAAAGAATTCTTTCGCAAATTTGGAATAATGAAGAGAAGCATAGCTGAAATAACTGAAGAATAAGAAACATTCCCATAGTCATTCACGCGAACAATAAGGGAAGAGATCTAAGAGATTTTAACAGTAATAATTAATTGTCTCAATAGCAACAACAACTTACCTTATTATGACTTTATCATCGTTATTTGGATCTAATAATTTTACAAAATTATCAGGAAACATCCCGGACTTTCCTGTCGCTGAAACTGTTCCGTACCACCATCCACCAGATTGTACTTTAATATTCGTTATAAGATCCCCTTTCGCAATGCTCAGCTCATCCAATTCATTTGCTGTATAATCAAATTCCACAATTGCACTTGCTACAATGAAATGAATAATTGAAGTGGCACAGATTATTCAATAAGCACTTAATATACGTAATATAATTTAAATTAAAATAGAAATCTTAAAAGTTTAAGTGAGTATGTATTATGCAGAAATAAAAAAGTTATGAGAAGTAGAAGAAAAATTGTAGAAAACTAGTCAGTGTAACGGCTGGTTGTGTGACTAAAAACGCATTTTTTTCTAGCCTTAATTGAGGTTTGAATATTAATCGTAACACATTTTAAATGTTAATTACACATTGCTGGACAGCAGTATGTTAATGCATTGTATTTTGATTTGTCAATTAGAATTGAGGAATAGATTACTGTCAAAAATTTGTACTATCGATTCTTCCTTAAATGTTAGATTCATTTCTTTGTTTTGATCAATTAGCTTAAACATTGTGCTTTAAAAGTAAACAAAACTATGCCAAATGTAAATTTACAATGAAAACAAATAAGGTAACTCCGAATGCTTATCAATGAACAATATTAAGTCGGAAAGCAAAAAGTAAAACAAAGCAATCACTTGTCAAATTTGTCCTTGATACAAAAGGTTATATAGCCATTTCCATAAATAAATTTTATTGATTTATAACACGAGTGATAAGATAAAGATTAAGTCTAGACCATAAGAGCAGTTTTGTACTGAATTTGTAGAAACTAGAGGGTCATATTTTAGGAACTAAAATTGGATATAGAGTAAATGTTAATTCATTTGTGTGTTCTTAACCAGTGTTGCAAATGTAGATGTCTACACTAGATGAAGAATGTAGATTCTTCAATAGTTTTTGTCTAGCTAAGAAACTTTCTTCATAAAGACCGATTCTACATGAAGATAGAAAATCTAATCTACACAAAGATTATTTCTACATAAAGATTCTGTCTACATAAAGATTCGATGTAGATGTCTACAATTCTACATTTTTTCTAGGTCTACATCAGAGAAGAATGTAGAATTGTAGACATCTACATCGAATCTTTATGTAGACAGAATCTTTATGTAGAAATAATCTTTGTGTAGATTAGATTTTCTATCTTCACATAGAATCGATCTTTATGAAGAAAGTTTCTTAGCTAGACAAAAACTATTGAAGAATCTACATTCTTCATCTAGTGTAGACATCTACATTTGCAACACTGGTTAAGAACACACAAATGAATTAACATTTACTCTATTTCCAATTTTAGTTCCTAAAATATGACCCTCTAGTTTCTACAAATTCAGTACAAAATTGCTCTTATGGAATGCAACACTGTTCTTAACATATCTTTAAATTTGGACAGTTAGATTTGGTTAATAATAATTTAATTGTCGAGATTCTCAAACAAAGCGCTAGAATATCAGTACTTTAATGCACAGTCCGAAGTATAATCATTTAACAATAGGACAGTTCTACAATTCAGCTTTAAAGCATTAATATGCGAATGATACATCATAAATGCATCTATGGTACGCCAACGAGTCCTTATTTTCGATATTGATTTTTTTTTGGGACCTTATTTTCGAGTATGAGTTCAAAATTTTTTTTCACGTTAAATTATTAATGTCTAATCTCTTTAATTAATGGTTTACATATTTGTTTTTCATCATCAAAATGCTAAAAGAATCCACTCAACTGTAATGAATCATTACTGATTTGATAAACAATTAATGCAAGTGAATTAATGACATTTTAATTTTCAATGTAAACAACAACAAAATTTTTTGAATATTTTTGAAAAAAATCATATTAAACTAATGTTTCCTGCATTTATCATCGATTAAACGATTAAATGAGTGTTGATTAACATAGTAGAAGGATTCGATTCCTAAATAATAAGTGAATTAAGTCAAAAATTGCGAAAAGTTAAAATTTTCATAAAAAATATGATTTTCGAAATTGCGAAATTTTGTTCGAAAAACATTCGAAACAAGTTTAAACTTATTTTGCTCCAACGTTGACATCGTCTCTTGGCATATCATAGAAATGCATAAATGATATTAACAAGTTTAAAATGCTAATTCAATTTAGTGCATCAATTGATTCTAATATTTAAAACATCTAACAAAAGTTTAGTCAATCCCTTGCTATGAATTTTAATAAAAGTCGACATGATCAAACTTTTCGGTCATCACCAGCAAGATCATGTAACACACTTAAATATCATATGCAGAAATTATCTGAAATTCTGCTTTTCGAACCACATCAACATTCACTCAGCTGTACATCCATACACAGAATGCCTTTAAAAGAAATCAAGTCATAGTGGAAAATTACAATATTTCACTCGGTTCCCATTGTAATTAAAATTTTAATCCACACAAATTTCATCACTAATCTCTCTTCGTCATTGTTATCTAAATTTTGTCCATCAAACTAGGGCACAAAACACAATTTTACAACAGTAAGTGAATGAGATGAAAACATCATGATGAGTCCAATCATCATTAAAGCATCAACTTCCGTATCTCTTAAAAAAAAAATAACCTTATGCTTTTGTAAAAAAAATTGTCTCTTTTCACTTTCTATACTAAAACTAGGCATATAAAATGATTTACAATGAATATATTCAGTGGGTTGTAGTAAATGAGAGGAACCAATCTAGTTGGTGTTTTAAGCTACGAATTAAAGAAACTCTCTTCCTTTGAATGTTTCTTTCTATTCATAAATACGGACTGGAAGCAATAAAAGCAACAATCAAGTGAACTGCATCGTGAACATTCATTTCTTTTTTATTATTTCATCCTCTTTCTTTGCTTTTTCTGCTGCTTATATTTTTATAGTATTTTTTTGGATAAACAAAGCACACAAAAAAATTGTTACATCCGGATCTCTTTTGGCTCTTTATACTCCACATATACACATACATATCTGTTGAAAAATTTTACGTTATATAAAATTTTGAATTTCGATTAAGTTCAAAATTAATTCAATATTTTCAAATTCCAAAAGTCTGTTAACATGCCAATAATTTTGCAATAATTTAATGCCTCTTTCACTTTAATCAATTAAAGTATACATACATTTTAGACAATTTCATTGATAATTTTAATATTTCGTTAACTTTACTATGACTTGATCATTAATGCGCTTCTGTAATGAGTTTGTAATCAATTTTATACTTGATCAGTCTTTTTAAATCGTTTTGTCAACTTGTGAAGTCGCATAAAGTTACGTTTTATAAAAAATTAATTAATTAAGCCATTTGTTGGCAACAATTTTATATAGACAACTTACCTAGACACCAAAGAGTAAGAAAATATCAAATTGTATTGATTTTAGGCATTAAATTAATTATTTCCAATATTTTTCTCATATCCACCTTTTCAGGTGAATTGAGCCTAGAAATTCAAAAATTAAATCAGGTTATTTTGTGAATTAAATTCACTGGCATTGATAGAGGAGATATAGATTAAAGAGCAGCCAGGAATTGAATAAATTTTGATGAGGAACAATAAATAATTAATAATGACTGGAAATATCATGGATTTTCTTTTCATTTTGGATCTACAGGCTCTATAATCGACGTCAAGTAAGTTGTTCTGTGAATTTGGGTTAAATAAGGCATAAAAGATGAGTTTTTGAGACAATTTACAGCAAGTTAAAAATTTAACCCCATAAAGATTAATTTTGTGATTAAGATCAAATTAATTTTTTAACACTCAATTCACTCTGGATTCACATTGGATGTAGTAAAGTGATATAATACATATAATTGAGAAGATATTAAGCATCTAAGTGCATTCTCATGAAGATTTAAAGAAAATTAAACATCCAGTAAAAAATTGTGAGATCCAGAGAAAAAACATCCAGTGAAATTTTTTTAAAGATACAGTTGAATATTTATAGCACGTTTTTTGTATTTGATAGTTTGTGCGTTTTATGAAAGAATTTGGACGATTAAATAAGTCAATTTGTTAATTTGAGATATTTCATTTAAAAAAAATATATATTTTATAGCAAATAGTACGTTGATATTTCTAATGTTTGAAAATCATAGCAAGTTTAAATGGCAAAAGTTCGTTAAATTATTGTTGACATAATTATTGATTGTGAAAAAATCTGATTTTTGTTTGAAAAAATCAATTTAAACTAATTAATTAATGATTGTTTCAGTGAATTAATGTGTTCAAATGATAAAATAGCATTGCGAGATATAGGAAAATTCTCGAAAGTAAGAAATAGTGTACGATTAAGATAATTTTATATTTTTGTCTTGAAAAAGTGAATTTCGATATTAATTTATCACTTTTAAGACTGCAAAATCCCATTAGATAATATAAATTATTAATTAAACAACGGGGAATGCATAAGTGTTGTGTGTAATTAATATAATTAATTCCAAACGAAAAAGTTTGATGAAATCTGATCATAAAATCATATGAAGGAATAAATTAACAGTGTAAAAGAGCTTAAGAAGATAGATTTAATTGTGGATGTAGGAATTGTTCTGTTTGGATGCATCATATTTGTTTAAAATTAATTAATGAACAGAAGATTATTTGAGTAAATAGTTGTGAAGTGATTATTAAGATTGTTGCATTCGTTTGCCAGCTATCGTAAATTTTTAATGCTTAGTGGCAACGTTATTGAAGAATTAATTGTTGATTTGACAGAAGAGTCAAAAGATTTAAAGATGTCTGATGTTAAATGTTTTGTCTGTAATAAATTAATTGAGATAGACATTCATGTATGTTTTGGATGTGAAAATGAATATCACGGAAATTGTTTGAGTGATCAGGAATTACTTACAGTTGAAAATAAGTTTGAATTTTTATGTGAGGAATGTATGAGGATAAAAAATAATTTATTTAAAAGAAAGAAATTACAGCCAGGACATGGAGAATTCCAAGGTGAAAAATCAAGTGAAGTTGCTACTGGAAATGAGTCGACTTTTGCTGTTAAGGCATTTGAGTTTTTCGACAAGCAGTCGGTAATGAAGCTACCAGAAGTTGTTGATACAGACATGTCTTGGGTAACATTTTATGAATCGTTTGTGAGCACGCAGCATAA